CAGGAATCCGCAGACACCTGAACGGCCCTCTCAGCTTTCTTTCTTCTTTCCTCTTTTAGTTTTTGCTATTGGGCACATGCTGGAGAGAGACAGAGAGAGGGAAAGTGAGAAATCACCTCCTGAGGGGATGGCCATGCCACAATCCCTTCTCCTCCTTTTTCTTCTTCGGATTTTGAACACACATGTGAATGTACCCAGCATGATTTTCAAGCAACCGCGTCCGGACTTGAACCATGGTTGGCCATATGGGTTCCAGCGGCCTTAACCTCCACGCCACCAGCTCCCCACAGTTCTAACTTAAACCTGTCCCTGACTCAGTTGATTCAGAGTCAACGTAAGGGCTAGAGTCTAAGGAAATGCATCCCTTAATAGTTCCCCTGCGACCCAGGAACAGATTGGGGGGAGGGGGGCGACGTCAGTCTGGGTGCGACTGTCTCTCTCCAGGTGAGGAGCCCTGGTCTGGGAGGTTTGGCCAGAGGAGTTTTAGTCTATTCTAGACAGGCTTTGTTATCTGCTAAGGAATCCCCAGAAGCAGCAAGCAGGTGAGAGGGGAGGGTAGATGGGAGGGATTCCCAAGTGGCTTTTCTTAAGTTGGTCTCTACACACAAACTGGAACCTTCCTGTGTGGGTCAGCTTGGCAGACTGTCATGTTTTACAGTGGCACCACCATCCAGCCCCACCAGGGGTGGCTTCAGAGCCCCACACCTCCAGTCTCCCAACCGCCACCACCCCCCCAGCTCTGCCAAAGATTCCTCAGGGCAGGGGACATGCAATTCTTCTTGCTTTCTTAGGGGACCCCAGACACTACCTTTCCCAAGGGGTACCCCAGAGTTTTCAGGGCTCAGACCAACCCCATCCTGGGCTAGGTGAGCAGGGTGTAGCTGTGGCCAAAAGCCACCACTGCTGTGCAGTGATTGAGTGCTGCTGCTGTCAGCCTGGATCTAGGGAAGTCCCTGCACAGGGCAGCTGGGCTTCGAAATGAGGGAGGAAGGGGCGTGTCCTGGGGCAGGAAAGTGCAGACCAGGGTGGAGTTCTAACCCCAGCAGGCAGGGATCTGACCCCAGGAGCCAGCAGCTGGCCAGTGCTAAGAGCAGGAAATGCTTCTCCCACCTAATCTGGGGCTTGGACAGGCAGCGGGGGGTCGGAGGGTGCCGCATGGTGGAAGCTCCCAGGCTTCCACTGGGTCAGAATGTGAGTGATCACAACACAGCATAAACATCTACTCACTGCAGGTCAGCACTGTCCCTGGCACTCTACAGATACTGACCGATGACTCCCTCATCTCTGAGAGGCAGGTATTACTACTAGCCCCATCTTCATATGAAAAAACCCAGGCACAGGTTCAGTGACATCCTTCGGAAAGAGAGAAGTCACTATGAGTGAGAAACACATGACAACTGACAAAGCCACCAGAGCAGGAACAAGAGATGGATTGTTAAGGACCTGATTCCCCAGGAGACTCTCCGATGGAAATGCAAAGCAACAGAAATCCAGAGGGGCTGGGGAAGACGAGGGATTCATTTGCACCTGGAGACCTCCAAATGCCTTCTGGAAGGGTCAGGGCTGCAGATTGTACCAGCACACCTGAGTTCAGCTGGCCTGACTCCACCCAGAGATGTCCAGGAGTGGCCTCTGCCACCCATAGGTTCTGTCCTGACCTGCAGGCCCCAGCTCCCACCCCACCACGTTGCATCCTCCTTTGATATGTCCCCCCCATGCTGGGCAGGCCCTGCTTGACCAGGGCACACCGGGCATGCGACCAGCCCTTCGTTAGACATGTTTATGCATTCTGTTTATACATCCATCTTCCTTCCCTCCCACTCACCCTCCTGAGGGCAGAAACTGCATCTCGTGCATGGATTCATCAACTGCTACATGATACTGCCTGGCGGGACCAGCAGTTAGCGTAATGGCTGTGTTGCTGAACTCCCATGTAGTCAACCACGGTTCGAGTCTCAGACCCAGTGGCTTAAACTCATGCCAGGCGCGTGTGCGTGCATGCCCAAGAATCCAAGAAGAGAATGGAAGCGAAGGGATTACGGCGTGATCATTCCCCCTGGGGGGTGATTTCTCGCTTTCTGTCTCTCTGTCTCTGTCTTTCTGGAGAGCGCATATGCCCTATAGCAAAAACCTCTCCAAAAATAAATAAATAAATAAGATACTGCCTGGCACCAGTAGGTGCTTCTTAACTACTGAACTTGGGAAGTGGATGGATGCATGGATTAATGCATGAATGAAAGAAAGAACTTGTTTTGATGAACGACCCTAACAGTCTTGGAAGAAGGCCTTTCGTTTAGGTCCTGAGCACCTGTAATTTTTGACTAACCAGCCTACATTTTTTTTTATCCTGCTAAAAAGTCTCCACCTGCCCCAGACCCTGAGGCTGGACTCACTGCTGTGTCCTGTACAGCTAAATGATCACGTTCTCTGAGGAGGGCGGCCGTGGATTTGGAGAGAAACATGGAAATAAACAAAGACATTCAAGTAGAGAAAAGCAGGGATCAGGCGGTCCCAACTTCTCTGATGGAGGCAGCTGTGACCTCAAACTGTTCTCATGTTTATTCTTTTAAAGGCCAGAAAAGGGGTGAAGGGGATATGGAATGTAAAGCCAGTTTTCACATGTTAATTGATTGAAGATGTGAAGACACCTAGCGCCATGTAGTTCTATGTAAGTTTTCTCTAATCTTTTTGGGCCTATTCTGATTAACACACATGGCTTCCTTTAATCGAATACCGCCTTGCAGTTTCAAACACAAGAAACTAGTGTATTCCCATGTTTATAGTGTACATTTCCCCGTAATGACTATTCATGGGACCACGTTTCTGCATGTTGTCTAAAGGTCGCTATGATTGCTCAGCTTTGGGTCGCTCCCTACAACTCTCAACATAAACGAGGTCAGTTGTGGAGTCTTACTCCTCGGGAATGGGCGTGTGGAGTTAGGCATGGGCAGTTTTCCCCAGGACTTTCTGCAGCAGAGTGGGTAGGAGCAGCAGTTTTCCCCATCCCTTTCGAGTCCTAATGCTCGATGCATATGCCGGGGGGCCCTATGAGCGTGTGCTCTGCAAGTGAAGAAGCTGATAGAAGGGCAAGGCACCTCAGAGGAGGTGATCCAGACCTGTCATAGGTGAAGTGCTAGCTCAGGGGAAGGAGGGGAAAGGTGGGTGGGCTCTGATGGGTGGTGGGTCAGGTCAAGAGGCAGGGAAAAATTCTGGGTCCGGTCAGGACTTGTGTTGAAGACATGAATGAAATTTCTAGGCTATACATCATGGAAAGTTCTGGTCCCACAAACATGTCTATGGGAGGCAGAGTTGGCTAGGGTCGTGTGAAAGGAGACTCTGTGAGGCCTGTCCTAATGATGCTTCCAGGGCATCACAGGGTGGTGGCATATCATCAGGGTTCTCCAGAGAAACAGAACTGATAGGATGTAGATACAGATTTATTAAAAAGAACTGACTCACGATTACGGAGGCTGAGAAGTCCCAAGACTTGCAGTCAGCACACTGGGGACCTAGCGGAGCCAGGTGTTCAGTTTTAGTCCACAAGGTAGTGGGCTCAAGACCCAGGAAGAGCTAAGGTTATAGTTCAAGTCTGAAGGCTATGAAAGACCAATACCCAGCTCAAGGCAGCCAGGGAGGAGAGCTCCCTCTCACAGGAGAGTCGGCCTTT